TTAGTTCCCAATCCAAAGCACCAACTAAGGGATACCTGCCATAAAACAATTGCAACAGCAACAAATACGGAGGCCAGTCCTCCGCACCTGCTCTGAATTCAAGCCCACCTCTTTTTCGAGGTACTCCGCTACCATTTGGCACCTGGGTAGTGATGGCCGGTCTCCTGAAACTGAGAATCTCCTTTAGATGTTCAATCCCAGACCAGAAGGAACCCGCCCACTTTTAGGGCGGTACGATATGGCCATGGGTCAAAATCCGAATCGTACTCCCAGTGAACATCCCAATCCCCACTAGAATAGACTAAAATGGGTGGTGAATTCACCTACGCCAAAATGGTACCATTGGTTTGACAACCACAGCCATATTCTCCGGACTCGCATTGCCTCAAAAGCGGAGGGATCTGCTGGCCGCTGTAGGACCAAAATTGCTTCACCTGGACACCGCCAGAATGTCGCCGAGTCATGAAACACCGCACGCCCGATCTAAAGGAGCCAACACAATGAACGTTGGGGGTAGGCAACCCAGGGGTACCCCAAACCTCTGAAGAAGCGCCGGCCTTGCGGAGCTGATTCAGCGAAAGCCCAAGCTGGGAGAGAAATTCCTGGGCAAGAAAACGAGGGCACATCTTCTTGAAGCCGGGTCTGTCCTCCGTTTCTGATGTCTGCATGGCGTCATTCTCCTCCACAACCCGTGCTATTCAGAAGGGAAACAAGCTTCTGAAAAGTGCGGCCAACACCTTGCAACACAAAAGCTGCTACCATGTTGGGCAGCAGAATGGCCGAAGCTTTGTTGCGCAGAGCACAAGAGCACCATGCAAACCACAAATTGACAACACCTCGTTTGTTGGTCCTCACCAGATTGCACTGGCGCAAAGCGAGAGTCGGAGGCTTCCTGATCAAACAGCAAATGAACCAATTCACAATGACTTGGACAAGCTGAGCTGCCAAGATCCCAAACTAACATGCCTCTCCTCATCTCCAGCTTCAGAACTTGGCTCCTCATCCAATGACAACGCTGCCATGTCTGGCTATGGCTGATGAAGCAACACATGCACTGCCAGTCCTGGACGGAACTTGGAACTGGCACATCCGGAACTTGGGAGTCCTGCACATTGGCATGTTTCCAGCCGCTTGAATCTATTCCGACTTCCGCTCCTGCTCTTCAGAGTCCTGAGACCAAGAAGTGCCAGCGGCCACACAACACACATCTGTCTTGAGCTTGTTGCATTCGCTTGCTGATCACACCATCTTTTGAAGCCGGCTCTGTCCTCAGTTTCTGATGTCTCCATGGCGTCATTCTCCTCCACAACCCGTGGTATTCAGAAGGGAAACAAGCTTCTGAAAAGTGCGGCCAACACCTTGCAACACAAAAGCTGCTACCATGTTGGGCAGCAGAATGGCCGAAGCTTTGTTGCGCAGAGCACAAGAGCACCATGCAAACCACAAATTGACAACACCTCGTTTGTTGGTCCTCACCAGATTGCACTGGCGCAAAGCGAGAGTCGGAGGCTTCCTGATCAAACAGCAAATGAACCAATTCACAATGACTTGGACAAGCTGAGCTGCCAAGATCCCAAACTAACATGCCTCTCCTCATCTCCAGCTTCAGAACTTGGCTCCTCATCCAATGACAACGCTGCCATGTCTGGCTATGGCTGATGAAGCAACACATGCACTGCCAGTCCTGGACGGAACTTGGAACTGGCACATCCGGAACCTGGGAGTCCTGCACATTGGCATGTTTCCAGCCGCTTCGATTTCTTCCGACCAATTCTGGCTTTCACTTTTCCGCTCCTGCTCTTCGGAGACCTGAGACCAAGAAGTGCCAGCGGCCATGCTAGCTCGCACTCGCTTGCTGATCTCATCGCTCATTCAGAATCGTGATTGCGGCCTTGACTGCCCATCCTCGTCGGCCTTGCCTGCACGAATCATCTTGCGGAGGACTTTCAACTGGCCTTTGACAACACCAAGACCGACCAAGACTGCTTAGGGCCTGGTGCACAGAACGCCAACTGCACCAGCAATGCAGCCGCGGCTTTGCGCCTTGCAACAGCCCGGGCCCGCACGGTGGGACAAGGCACAGCATGGCCTGCTTGGCTCTGCCGGGCTGACGAGAGGCCTCGGTGTAGTCGCTCAGCAGACTTTGATGGCGCTGACTTTAGCCCTTTCGAGTGCTGCAAAGCGACCCAAGCCAAACACAATATTTTGAACGCTACACAGTGGCTTGATTGCCAGGGAAAGACCACAGCTTGCGGATTTCCGGTCAGGACGTATCAAGGCTCTGCTGCCTATATGGGACTTGCCTTCCCAGTGAGAAAAACAAGGAGATCGCCACGCCCAGATTCGAGTGAGCTGTGAACCCGGAAGCTCTGAGTCAAAACCCCGGCGACTGCAGCGCTTTCTCTGCTGGAGAGGTTGAGATGGCTATTGTCAGAAGTGCCTGCGACTCAACATCCAATCAGCTACGATAGATACAACAGCAGGTCCTTTCCACTTCTGAGCCGCAGGCACAACACCGGAGATGCTGATCCGTAGCCACGGTTTCTAGCGATCCGTCACCCTATCATCTCGGTAGAGGTGGTGCTGTGCACTCCGTGTTGGAGGTCTACAAAGCACATTCAGCAACCGGCCCTTTCAAAATGCTGACAAAGCGCTTCTCAAATGTTTGAAAGCTGCTCTCTCCAGAAGGCTTTCTCAGTTCACTTAGGATAGCGGGCCATATTCTGATGAGTGCCGGAGAGGAGCAAAGTCTACGACAGGCTTGGATCAAAGACGGATTGCAGCCAATTGTTTCCGCTGAAAGACGTCTAGTGTCCGAACGAGCTGCTTTGGACTTGGCTTGTGGGCCAGGGTCTGGCAAGAGTACCCAGCGGAACATGCTGTCCGAAGGTTGGGGAATAGGTGGCAGCAGAAGTGGCAAAGTTGCTTGGCCCCTGGCCAGGGACGAGGTCAGAAGCTTCGTCTTTACAGCCCAGTGAGTTCTCTATCTTTTGAATATGGGGATAGCACGACTGACATAGGCGCGGTTATAGCAAGCCCTGTCAAGCGCGAATTGCTGCCCACAGGCAGTCAATTGACACTCTATCCGGCTCTGAGGCTCCTGCCACAATGGTCCGATGAAGTTTTGGTGGCTCGTGCCAGAAGCTAGACCTCAGCGAGGGAATATATGTCACAAACAAACAAGCAAGCACGCAAGCAACCACTTAAGCAAGCAAACAAGCAAGCAATCAAGCAATCAAACAAGCCAGCACGCAAACAAGCAAACAACAAGCAAACAACAAGCAAACAACAAGCAAACAACAAGCAAACAACAAGCAAACAACAAGCAAACAACAAGCAAACAACAAGCAAACAACAAGCAAACAACAAGCAAACAACAAGCAAACAACAAGCAAACAACAAGCAAACGAGCCAGCCAGCCAGCCAAGCAAGCAAGAACGCAAGAACGCAAGAACGCAAGCAAGCAAGCAAGCAAGCAAGCAAGCAAGCAAGCAAGCAAGCAAGCAAGCAAGCAAGCAAGCAAGCAAGCAAGCAAGCAAGCAAGCAAGCAAGCAAGCAAGCAAGCAAGCAAGCAAGCAAGCAAGCAAGCAAGCGAGCAACCGCACAAACACTCAGACATATGCGCAGAACGGCACATCTTAACATGTCTACAGTATGTGCTAACCGGCACGCATGCAGGCTCCCTACGAAATGCGCATGATATTGTATTCACACGCTCTCGCTTTGATTTCATGTTTCGCTAAAGCATGAACATCTGATAAAAAAAAAGAGGCATAAACAAGCGACAAACTGGATTGATTGCGCGCACACGCAGACGCAGACACACACACACACACACACAAGAGCCGGGAATGCAACTATCCCATCCCGGATGACGAATGCAGAATGCTTTTCCTGAGAATGGGAGTTGACCTTGATCATTTTCGCCGGAAACATCCAGCACGACAAACAAACAAGCACCTTAACGAATCTGTTGCGAACGCCACGCCGTTTGCAGCTTGCGCAGGAACATTTTGCTGTTGCAAATACGCTCGCGCATTGCTAGCGCAGTAACCAGCCTGACTGCAGTCATCCCAATGCCACAGCGCTTGCCTGTGCCGGCGGGCCTGGCAACATTGAGAAACCCAAAAAAGGACTCAGAAGCTAAAGGCCCATATATCTGCAGGTGCGCCGAATGCTGCGCGAAAGAGCCAGAATTGTTGTCCTTTTCGCGAAGGATGCTCCGCGTCGGCTTCTTGGAAACAAGGTTGTGCGCCTATCAGGTGTCTCTCCCGCATGGGGAGACGCAGGGAGGTTGTGTCCAAGGAAAAATCCGTTGGGAATGACCCGTGGAGCAAGTTTCGCCTGCGAAAGATCGGAGAAAGCCCATGGTTCTTCCATTGAGTCCAGGACAAAGCACTCCCGGCGAGCATGCGGAAATTGCAGCATGTTCGAGTCTGAACAGCAGCGGCGATCCCCAAATCGCCGCCCATTGAGGCGAGATCCGTGAGTGTCCATAGGCAGCATATGTAAAATATGGAATGCTGCAGCATATTCTGCAACATGTACAACATCTGAAATGCCCGAACAGTCTAACATGCATTAAACTGTATGGAATCTATTGCAATGCCCGCGGGATGCAATGCAACAGTGTGGAATTCACTGAAATCGAACTATAACTCAATCATATGGAATGTGTGCATGCGTTGCGTGCGTAGCATATGCATCCATCTTTGTAGGGCACATGCGCACAAGTTTGATGCGATGCGGGGCAACGATCTGAGTGGAGGACGGGATGGCGGGGCGAGCCACTAAGCTGGCCATGTCAAACTCACCAGTAGTGCATATAATGGTCTGCGCTGATTGTCGGGGCAAGCTAAGCACATCAAGCTCTCTTGCTGCTTGTCAAATCTGGCCACTCATTCTGCTACAAACAGCTTCGGACAGTGTGGGATAACAGGTGCGTGAACGCCATGCAAGAAAATGGATTTGTCAGTGCGCGGCAGTCCGGCTGGTCGCAC